ATTCCTGACAACGGCAAACAAGTGGAAGGTTAGGGAAAACATATCAACAGAAAGGCAAGTATAGAGTAACGCCTCCCCAGTGCATTCATCTACTGCCTGGTGAATAACAAGGTAAGGACCAAGTTCGTGAAGACTTGCACAAACTGAAACCTACAACTCTTCACAGAAATAAAACAACAACAACCACCATTGGCAGCTTTGCCCAGTGGTTCGAAGTCCAGCAGTTTCTAGCTCCAAAGATGTTAATTTCCTACTCTCTATAGGGAAATGGCTCTGTGTTTTCCTAGGTATTCACAGCCCTCGCTGTACATTCTCCAGGATCCTTTTCTTTGGGATCATAATATTCTTTTTTCTTTTGAATGTGTGTGTCCTTTCTGTGTGTCTGGATGCACTATCCACGTGTGACCCTCAGAATTTGCCATGGGCCAGACGTTCTGCACCCAGTTTCACAGGTTGCCATGGATCTCCTAAACAGACTGCATCCATATGGATGTTGAAATTTAGGTGCTGATTTTCCCCATACAGTACTGAAATCACATTTCTACGATAGTGGAAAGAATTCTCCAAGCCTACGTCACCTGGCCCCAAAGAAGGTTAGACCAGCAGTGAACACTCACCTGCCGATCAGAGATTCAGGAGTGGAGTTTGCCTCCTTCCTTTTTACCACTCTGCTTACTGAACCACTGCGGAGTGTCACCAGGAGATCATTTCTCCTTCACAAGCTCAGCAGCGATGAGGTTTAGTGGACTGGGAAATGCATCCACAGGTACTGGCAGAAAATGCATGCATGGCTTTTAAACTGCATAAAAAAGAGATTATTTCACCTCATGGTCTCACATGTTGACTAAATTGTTGTATCACTAAATTGGTGTATATATCTATAATTACAAATACTTAATGGCTGATCATTCACAGTGCAGTGAGCTGCTTTATGCCATGAAAATATCAAACCAAGTTTTCCAGGGAATTAGGGAATTGCTGTCAATAAAAATAAATAATGCATTTATCCTTTAAAATAATTTTAAATTAGCTGCCACAGACTCACGGAATGCAGCATTACGCCGGAAGTCAATGATCCATAGCTCAGGTTCCAATCCTATTACAGTATTTAATTCAAAGTCTAATTTACTTATTTGTTTTTCTCCCCCACACAGGAATCAGCAGCCTATAATGCTGTTAATGCTCTTCAGTCAGCCTATGGTATCAGGTACAGATATGGTCCTGCGTCTAGTACTTTGTGTAAGTTTTCCTCTGGCACAGGTTTATGACTTTGACCTACCTATAGCAAGAAGGAGATTACCCTTATTATAACAAAGAAAGCAAACACTGTTTAAAGTGAACTTTGTTCTAGTTGTGGATGGTGAGGAGGGCGGAAGATGAAGTTTTATAACTGATTCAGACAGTTGATTGCAGTAAGATTAACTCAACTGATGCAATAAAAGAGATTAAAATGCAATGCATTTGAGAGGCAAAAGCCAGCAAGCATGTTCAGAATATATAAAACCAGATTTTTTTTTTAAATAAGAAAGATAAAACAAGATCTTACAAAGCATATCTTTATCAGATACTGTAAATGCACTACTAAAGTATAAAATATTTGGGAAGAAATAATTCAAAGTAGGTTTCATTTTTCACTATTACTTTACCTCTCCTTCTGTGCAGTTGTGATAGATACAGCTCTTCATAGAGCTCATTCTAAAATTTAGGGTAATGTCTTTAAAAGCTAGGTTTCAAATGTCTCTGTCTGGATGATGATAAATTATAGCAATGGTATCTTTATTTGGACATCTTCCATTTTTCAGAGAGTGATTTCAAATGCATTTTTCCCTATAACAAAATATCTTTAAAATATGTCTTTTAAACATGTAACAACATTTCTCAGGCAAGCTCTCCATGTAGACAGGTAAGAGAAAAAGAAGTTCAATAGGTTTCAACAAGACACTTTTTTTTTTACTGAAACCGGGAGGCCTGAATACTCTCAGCAATGATAACAGACATTGAAAAAGTGAGAAGCTTAAGTAAATAGCAAGGTTTTTCACAAGTAACCTCCTCTGCTGTTGCTGTGTTTTGACTAGAGCTCCACTGTGTTGGGGGCCTCCATCTCACAGCACAGTCGTCATCTTGTGCTCATTACAGTCCAGACAGTTGCTATGTCAAAGGAAGACTAGTGTGACTTAATGCCAGAATTGCACAGAAGACAGCAGTCCACATGAGAGATGGATCATTATATAAATCAGTGTCTTGGGTAGTCAGCATACAGAGATAACAGAGAGAAAGTTTGTTAATATTAGACACCACCTATGCAAATGCTCTTATGCTGTAAGATAATGGTGAGAAAACAAGACAGAAATGAAAAAAATTTTAAAAGCATTTTCAAAAAGAGAATGTAGAGTACTTTATCAGGTTTCTCCCTTCTCCCTGCAAAGGAATCATCTAAAAAACCCAAGTTAAACCTAGGACCATGCAGAGCTCCAGTGCAGATGCAATATCTTTGTGGCAGCAAAGCTTTAGACTGCACTCGTCTAGGGACAAGGACAGTTTGAGGCTTTTTTTTTGCTTCACACAAAAAAAAGTCAGTTGCCTTTTTTTTTTTTTCTGTGACAATCAAGGGTCTAATCCATATTGTGCTGAGCACCTTTCATCAGGTGCCGGGTGCCCATGCCCTTCTCTGAAGGGTGTTCAAGATAGAGCAAGCAACAGCTGGGGTTGCTAGTATGTTCGCTGAGCCCCGAAGACAAAATGCCACAAGAGCCCTCTGGTGCTTTCAACATGACCTGCATTTTTTTAATTTCTCTGAATTCCCTCTTTCAGATGTGAGTTCTGGTAGCTCTATGGACTGGGCCTACAAAAATGGCATCCCCTATGCGTTTGCATTTGAGCTGCGCGACACCGGCCATTTTGGATTTTTACTTCCCGAGACACTGATCAAACCAACCTGCATAGAGACCATGCTTGCAGTTAAAAATATAACTCTTCATCTGCTGAAGAAATGTCATTGAGACCTATTTCAAGGAGCTGGAAGTGAGCACTTTACTCCCAGTGCTGATGCCTTTCAGTGTATTCTGTTGCCATTCTAAGCTTGGCCACTTAAAAATTACAGAAACTAATGGGAAATATGTTATTGTTTCTACGAGATTTACTTGGTCTGAAATGGAAAACATCATTCAGTATCTGCTCTACAAAAGCCTGTAAAGTTGATATACTAACTTAGTTACCAGTTTGGTGTAAAATAGTCTGTTCTTTTTGCAATAAAGCTTTGATTCTGCAACTTCAGCGGTCCACAGGTCTGCATACAGGTGCCTGAAAAAAAACCTCCAGACAGTCTCTGGCCTTACTCCTTTCCCTAATAGGAATACTTCCCTTAGTGAGGTCTCTCATACCAAGGGATAAAGTTTACATTCATGCATATGTACTCTGTGACCCAACACAGGCCCACGTCTATAGCAATAAATGGCATATAGGTACAGCTGGCCGCGCTGCAAGTGGTAACATGGCTTCCTTCTGCATGTATACATACATAGGTATATGCACTTTTGTGATGTTTTTTTCATGTAATGCAAGAATTTGACCCAAGGTTTCTTTTAACTGTTCAGAACCTATTTTCAAATGTATATATTGAGGTGGTCTCAAAATCAACATATTGCCTTTGAAAATGTAACTTTCCTAGAGATGTGTAAGAATTATAATGAAATATTATTGAGATATGCAACACTCTGCTTTATGAAGAGACAAAGCAATCTGCCATGACTTGGAACTTGGAAGCCTGTAGTTGGCCGGTGCATCTCGGTTTTGCTGTAGTCAGTGCCTGCCCATTTCCACCAGCCAAGGACCTAGCCTTAAACTGTAATTAACTGATGTTAACTGATGTTTTATTTATTGGTATTCTTGCAGTGAGTTCTGTTGCTCTATGGCTATGTGGCTGTTCTTGGAAGTCATACTTTTTGCATGTTTTAAAGGAATTAATAATAGATTCTTAAGTGAGCCGGAGGTGAAAGCAGAAGCTTTACAGCTGAAACACAGTGAATAAGCACCATGTTTGAAAGAATAATAATGGAAGCACAGAGAATATTAACAACTTGTTGAGAGTTTTTTAGTACTTTGAAAATACCATTTTTTAATCATATCTACAAAAGCATATATTTTACTTTATTAATTTTGAGTTGAATCTTATGCCATAACATGTTAAATAAAACATATTTGTTAATAAAATCATCAACAGCTTTTGAAGTATTCTTCATATTTCATTTAATTGTTAAAGCTTTAGTTCAAGGATGTGACAATTTTACCTATCTGTAAAACATTACTGACACCAAGGATGTGGTATTTTAAAAAAACCTACATCCTTTCTAAATAAGTACTTGAACTTAGCAAATGGGCAACCTTTATAAGACTAGGGAGCACTGTATTTAATTAAGAATACCATTGTTCACAGGATGGAAAAAGGCAATCAGTGAAAAGATGACAGAATTGCATTCTATTTGGTTAACATTTTGTCAATAAAAAGTATTTATTTTAAACAAGCTTTCTGAAAGCTTGTTCAGATTTGATTAGTTCAGACTTCTTGGAGTAATGCAACTTTCTATTCTGGTTTAAGAAAAATCTAGGGGATGGAAGTTCTTAAAATATTTATCCATTAGTCATTTCCAACTGCTTATGACCATAATCATAACATATTTTGAACACAGCAATAACTATCTTTTGCTATGCACAGATTCCTGACCAATGGTCTTGATAGTGGTATAAATTAAATATTAGCACCAATTGTTGTGAGTTGTTGTTCTGGATTTAGGTGACAAGATTGAACTACTACAAGGATATGAGACTGAAGTGAAGGATAGAAGGCATGAGAGATGCCTAATTAGCGTGAGGCAAATTTAGCTCTGGATTGCTACAGTACAAAGCTTTCCAAGTATGGGCCAGGAGAAATCATTCAGATGTGATGGTTTGTTTCCTGCTCATAGTCCAACAGTTCATCATATGAAACATTTCAGCTCTATCTTCACACCATCACATCTCCACTGGTGATGAAAATTAACTGAACTCTTGGAGCAAGAAAGGAAAAGAAAAACCAACAAAACCCCTCTTTTAGTTACCAAAAGGACCTAACATTGTAGATCTAGTTGACCTTCTTGGACAGGAATAATTCAAAGTATTCTTACATTTATCTAAGAAGCTTTGACATTTAGAAGTACTTGATACCAAAACCAGTCCATGAATAAAGCTACATCCTGGTATCTGGATAGACTCAGCCTGAATACTATGTGTTATGTGCAATTGAAAACTGAGCTGAGTTTTGAAGACCTGTGCAGCGTAATTTAGTGTCCCACAGCTGAATACCAGTGTAAACAGCCTCTAAGCCCTTCAATTTCAGGGTCACTAAAGCTGATCAGAAAGACAGTCAATAGAAAAGAACAAACCCTATTTCCTGAATTAAGAATTTGTAAGACAATTTATGAGCAAGAGTGATTCTAAATAGAGTAGTTTACCCTAAGGAAGGAACTAGTGGAAGTCAGCTATTTGGATATGAAACGACAGCATTTGTGACTTACAAATGTTACTTCTCGGAACAGCTCTTTTTTATCTCCATAACCGCTTACTTCTCTTGTACTTCTCTTCAGCAGTCTTCATTGCCTACAGCACAACAGAATCAATAACTGGGTTTGAGAAAAGTTAATTTATTTTATGATCATAGGTCTAGTTTATCATTCAACACAATAAAAAGTATGTGAACAGCAAAACACTTGTTATTAACCCAGCAGTCAAAATCACATGTATAATGATTATCTGAAATTCAGGAGTTACACTTCCATTGGTTATTGACAGAATAGTTATGACCACTTCTGTAACTTGGAAAAAGTGCTCAGACAAGCTTTTGTGAACATCTGTTCTTTTTTTGATAGCTTTTCTTTTTTATAAACAAAACCCTGAGATTAATTAATGTGAAGGAGACAGGCCTATGCCTATTTAAGTCTCCCTTCCCAACAACAAAACAATTATACCAAATTACCTTGAATCATCATTCATAAATTGATAAAAAATTGGGCTTTAGAGGTATTGAGTTTGGTTGCAAACCTTGAAGAAAGAGGACAGCTGACCGGTGAAGTTCCCTGTGTGTTTTTCAGATGTTGCTTCAAAAAGGCCAATGTGTTTTGTCACTCATGTAACATGTAAAGCCTATGGAAACCTGCAATTCTTTTTTAAAATCTCTGAAATTTGACTAGAAAGAGTCCAAATGACCTTGAATGACAACATATATTTATTTGAAACATCCAGTGCCGGCCCGCTTGTCTGTAACACATGGCAGTGTGCAGATTGCACTGCTGACTCAAGGACTGCGCAAAGTAACTGTTTAATGAAAAGACTGCATCTAATTCTTAAGGTTGGGAAGAAAGCATTATATTTCCTACCAAAAATAAGTTACTATTCAACTATTCTAGTTTACTCATGTTAAGCAATATCTTCCCTTTTTATGTTTACATTCAATTTTGTGGTACCACTCAAAGAAAAAGGTGTTTGGTAGCATGGGCAGAATAAGAAATATTTTTGTAAGCCCTTTGGCCTTTCCTTTGGCTATGCGAAACTACTATATCATTTCCATTGACTGTTATATGGCAGTCATTTTCATTGTTAAAAAATATTATTCTCACACATAATGACTTCATGTTTTTGACTCTAGTGCCTAAAAGCCAGATGTTACCATTTTCATACAGTTCTTAAGTGATGGTAAGACACCAGAATGATCTCTCAGATGCATAGAGATACAGCTACCCCTCTGCTGTAGAAAACAGGACAAGAGAACAGAAAATCAAATTAATTACAGAGAGACTTTTTACATGTAAACCCCATGATATTAGCTGTACTGCTTTAAAAACATTTTTAAATACTCATCACACAAAATACCTTTTCCGAGTTGTAAATTTAAGTCTTCTGTCCATGGAAAACACAGGCCATTTGGCATGCTTAACGCACACCCGATTCTCATACTTATTCAGGGTAAAAAATTAAGGTCCAAACAGCTGTTATTGCTTCCCCCTTCACTGCATAAGAGGAAAGGTGTGTGCGGAGAGGGCTGCCATCTGGCTGACTGTCTCAATAGGCTTTCAAGCCCTATCAGCACCACAAAACTAGCAGAACTGATGCTGTCGGCGTGCCTGTCTTGGAGGAAGGAGAACAACGCCAGAGTGGTTTTCACAGCCCTCAGCTAAATGTCCTTGTTGCCCCAAGTGCGATCTTCCCCCAAGAGCAGCTTGTCAGAAAGTCACAGCGATAGGCTGCATGTGGTGTCAAAAGGGCCTGCCTTAACAACAAGGTCTTCTGTTAATATCTGCAAATTTGGGATAACTGGAGTCACTCCAGAGCAGTGAGCTAACACATGGTTCTCCTTGGCAAATGATGTTTGGGGCAAGGACATTTAGAACAAGCAAATCTTTAGCCCCTGAATGCTTGTCCTTGCCTGACAGGCAGGAGCGGTCAAGCAGAAAGTCTCGGCTCTTTCTGCTTACAGCTCCTTTCAAGCCCTCTCCTGAGAGACTGAGTGAAGCATGGCAGGTCTTCCCTTGGATTTAGACATCAGAGGAGGTACTCATAAGTAACAGATTCAAATGTTAATTAAAAAATCTACCACTGTCCCCAGCCATGCAGAAAGTGCACTTTGTCTGCAACAAAGAAAATGCATCCATTGCCATAAAGACATGGGGTAACAGATTTCATTCATCCAGCCACCTCAGCATTGCTCAGCATTACTGAAAAAGACATGTGGCAGAATAGCCATAACAATGAAATATTTTAATCTACTCTGAGGTCTGTAAGAGCATATACTTTATCTCAAACAACAGATAACCGCTTCTGAAATAAATATTGTGGTATGACTGTGAGCAGGTGGTTTAGTCCTTCATGCTGACTACCATGTGCCAGGCTATTCCTCTGCATACCAGAATGGCTCAGTGCTGGGAGGGCTGTCTCTTTTTTTTTTAACCAAATAATGAACCCTTTGGGGTTT